ATCTTATCACGAACAAGTCGTGCGTCATGGGGTTTTGTTTATGGCAACCGCTGGCAATGGGAAATGAGAGATGATGACAAGGACAGTGAATTAGAAAAAGGATAGGCCTTGCTGATAGGAGATGAGTGTGGAGCGATTCTGCGATTGCTTTGCAGCGCGGGGTTGGACAATATTTTAGTATCGAGGAGCAAATAGTTATATCCTTTTTGTGTTTTTCTATACTATACCTGGAAAATTTCGGGTGGAAGATCTCGGGAAAGGCTCATCGAGTCTTTAAGTCCAATAACAGTAGAAAACATCATCCTTCGACATCGTTTCGTAAAGGAGAGGAAAATCCAGAATCGATCAAATGTCACTTTCTTGGTGGCGAATGAGCCAAATGACAATTTGCGATTTGATAATATCCGGGTGTTTTATTTAATTTGCATATGTCACTTCCTCCATGACGAATGAGCCTAATCAGATAGTTTTCTTGAAAGTAGAGAGAGGAACTTTTTTATAGGATTACTGGATTTTTCCTTCAATAGGATGGCCCTGACAGCTTTCTGAAAAGTTTTTACTTTTTAGTAATCTAGATCACTCTTCCCATTAACGGTATTATTTAGAGCATCTCTAAGAATCAATTATCAAATCTTTGATTATTTTAGGTCGTCAAAAAGAACATGGAGCTAATTTGTTGTCTTTCTTCAACTAATTCTAACGATTCACTCTTAATTTTTTTTAAAAAAAACATGGTCCACCACATAATTTTCTTAGTCTTTTTTTCTATTCATGCACCGTCATTCACTACCCCTAAGCCGATGTCCATCATCCTCTAGCCACCTGCAATGGTATAAGCTAGTTACTTTTGTTAGATTAACAGGATCATCTAGCCATAGATTTAGCATACATACTGACATCTAATTGAATAGTAAATCCTAGAACATGCTAGTGCGAGAAACAGAGAGAGAGGTTACAGAGGTGTAAACCATCAGCCGCCTTCGTAGAAGACGAGCTTGCCATGGGGTGCTTGTCGGTGGCGCGGTGAGGTCCGGCGGTGAAGTCGCGGACATAGTGGCGGCGGTGGCCGGTGGCGGTCTTCCCGTCGCTGGCAACGCCCCCTCACTAGATTGGCTTAGGGTTTAGGGACTGTAGGTGGGGCGTCTGACGGCTCAGGTGATTCTCGTGCCTTGTGCCCCAGCCCCACCTCCCTTTTTATGGCGCTGTACGATAGGGGCCCACCAACCATAAAGCGGTTGGGCGCCCCCGATCAGGGCGCGCATCTAAGGGCCCAATTGGTTGGGCTAATTGATGAAGATCAATCTAACAACTTTTTCAATAGTACTAACTTTTAGCATATGCTCCCTCCGTCCCTAAATAACTGTCGCTTTTGGTTTTCGTGCCATATGTTTGACTGAATTTATAGAAAATACGTGTAACATTTATATATCCAAATAAATTTATTATGAAAATAAATTAAACGATCTATCTAATGATATTAATTTTGTATCATAAATATTGATATTATTTTATATATATTTAGTCAAAGTTATTTCTCGGTAAGTGAAAACGACAGTTATTTAGAGACGGGGGAGTACTCCATAGCTCATAACATGAACGGCCACACATAATACTCTAACATGATCTTTAAATATATGTATGAGCCTAGTTCTGGATTAAGAGCTAGCTTTTCTCGCTTCCATTAAAATATGAAAAAAAAAGTCTAGAGCTAGCTTATGAGTCACCTATTGCGGGTGACCTTATGTGTTGCATTTCTACCCTAACAGAGCGAGTTGAAGGCCATATTATAAGTTGTAAAATAGAAACATAACACGATGAGCGTTTCATAGGGTGATTAGGCCCCGATCGCTTGAACTACTTCAGTAGTACTTTTCAGCGAACCAACAATACTTTTATCTCACAACAAATAAGCATAAGCATCAGAATAAGCCAAATTTCAACGATGAATTCAAGATAGCCTTATATGTGAACCATGATAGTTATGGAACATCAAATTTCAAGTCAAATAGTCTAATCTATTAAGTAGATTTTAGTTTCTCTAAAATAAAAGGATCCAAATAGCTTTTAAAGGGCATATCCAAGAGTACCCTGTTTTCATTTATAATTCTTGTTTTTTAGCAAGATGAGAAAAAATCCCTCTTCAATAACTCCTCATCCTTCCTCCTCAAATTTATGCACTTGGAAAATCCTCTCCCATTGGGCGTAACTTTGCGTAGAGTCGCAGTCGCGCGGATACACGCATATTCATCGGCCAATTAAAGGTGGAAGGGCGGAAAAAGAATAAATAGTATGAAAGGGTTTCAGATGCAAATGTACAAGAGAGAAAGAATATATAAAATTGGTTAAAATAATTTAGAAATAGTATAGAATTTCTGATGTAAAATTATCTTCTATATTTTAGGTGTAAATTATTGAAAACTATCGGAGATTACCTTCTTTTTTTCTCTTAATACTTTTTTATGAATTGGAAAACATTGGCTTTTTGGATGAAAAATTTAGGATACTCTTGGAGATGCTCACCTTTATTTTTGTATGCGTCAATTCAATCAAATTTCAAACGAACGAAAATCTGCCGACGCATTCCCAAAAAAATAATAATCAGTCGACGCATCCATTTCCGACAGCCAACTTGGCGAATTGCCGATTCGAGAGACCAGAGCGAAAAAAAAAACAAAACACTCGGCGCTCCCTGTGGTGTGGGGGTGACGGACACACAGCGCCACGCGACCAACGGGAGGAACAAACTTCCGCGTGCGCCGCTCGCCAGATCCAAAACGAGCCCGATCGAGCAAGTCACCCGCCCGGCCCGCGCCGTCGCTGTCGCGGAGCCACTAGGCTCCCGCGCGGGTCCCTCCGCCCCGACCTCGACCCCAGATCCCCACCCAAATCCCAATCGGGGGCGTGGCGTTTGGAAAGTTCTCCCCGTCTTCAGTTTCACCGTACGCCTTCGCTTCACCTCACCCGCTTCCCGCACGTTTTCCCGGTCTCCCCGTCTCCCTCATTTTATGGGTCCGCTCACCGCCGGAGTCGGCTGTGCCGCGCAGATCCGCTCGTGACCGCCGCCTGGAATGGAACGTACCGGACGGGACCGGGAAGATGGAAAGAAACGGAAGGCACCGGCGGACCGCAGCCGCCCGGGCCGGCGGGAGCAACCTAATTTTGGTTGGCACGATAGATCACGAAAGGAGATCGTTACTCCTTGTTCTTGGTCCGTGCTAATGTGGAACGTGATTTGGAGCGAACTGTGGCTAATGGACAAAATTCCAAACCTTAATCTATATCTATCTATCTATACTATAAAAGAGCGAATAAATTAGAAAATAGTTGGCGCCTAAAATTTTATACCCACCTTATATTAGAACCGTTTGGATAATGAATTGTCATTAGATCAAATCTAATGATACACGTTAATCTAACTGTGGGCTATGTCCATGATCACCCACCGGGGCCACCCGTCTCTCACTCCTACCCCATTATTTTATATAGATAGAAGCTCCTCTGGTGTCACTGCTTGCCTCCCCTCCTCACCTCAATTCTCTCGGCAACTCCTCCTCACCCCACAGCTGTCTCCGAGTCCAACAAGCCAATGGCTCTTGTCCGCTGACACACCACCGCCATTGCCCACCTCACCCTCCCGCTCGACCACTTCGCCTGCGCCGCCGCCAGTGCCTCGTGACCATCATTGCCCATCCACCTCCACCTCCACTTCCACCTCCCACGTCCGGCGCCCGCCTCTCGGACTACGAGAGGCTCTCCGTTCTCGGCCACGCACACGGCGGCACAGTGTACAAGGCAAAGGCGCACCAGCCGGTCCGCATGTGGCCGGATCACGCTCAAGCTCTTCGCGGACGGGGACACCTCCGCGGCGCGCGAGGCCGAGATACTCATGCTCGCCGTGGACACGCCCCACGTCGTGCGCCTCCACGCGGTGATCCCATCGTCGGCGTCAGCGGTCGCCGCCGGGGAGGCTCCCGTGGCGCTGGAGCTAATGCGTATGCATCCCTGTTGACACAATTGGAGGCGCGGGTATGCATCTCGCCCGAGACCCTGTTGATTCGCAAGCCGAGGCTAGGAGGTCTAGGACACCTTCAACGGTGATGTCGATGCGTCGGAGTGGGAGGCTTGCTGCTAAGAACAAGGCCTCCAACCCGACTGTCCAGGCATAAAATGTGTTGAAGCAAAAGCTAGGGATCGCAAATAAGGCACAAAATCCAGAGCCTGCGGCTTTGGATAGTATCAGGGCATTCTTCACTGCACCGTTGCAGCCCTCCAAACAGGAGGCCCTTCCGGCGCTCTTCGCTCTAGATTTCGATCCGGTGGCCTAGGAGCTGAACCTCACTGTCTTCGAGCACGATGCTTTTTAGCCACTGAGTTTAGGGCCTGTTGTGTTTGTCCCTTTGCTTGTCGCTTTGTAGTTCTCTTTTCATTTATCACAACTGTGAGCTCTGTCGGTTTGTCGGTTTTTTTGTTCGGTAACCTCAAATTACCGTCCCAGCTTTAATTTGTAAAACTCTTCTTCCACTTAATGAATACCATGCTGATGGCACGTTCGAGAAAAAAAAATCCCTAATGCAATGCAATACTAATGCGAGTAACCAAACGGAGTGAAATTCTAAATTCTAGGCAGTGATCGTAGAATCTAAATTTTGATAAAATGATGAGGAGTGTTTGGATCTAAATTTTATGAAGTATACCAAGAATGAGCTAATCAGTTGGCATGACAGAAACCGTTAACATGCATGGCACTAGCACGTTTAGCGCACAAGCGACAAAGCGCACTGCAGACTGCGGGCGCACAGCATAGTAGCCGATGATAAGCCACGGGCAGGGGAGGGGTGGAGATGCAACAAACTCACCCGCCGGTGCCGCCACCGAACTCACTCCTGCCCCATTATTTATATAGATAGAAGCTCCTCTCGTGTTACTGCTTGCCTCCCCTCCTCACCTCAATTCTCTCTGCAACTCCTCACCCCACAGCTGTCTCCGAGTCCAACAAGCCAATGGCTCTCGTCCGCCAGCGCCGCCAGCTGCCGCACCTCACCCTCCCGCTCGACCACTTCGCCCTGCGCCTGCCGCCGCAGCCTCAGCCCACCGCCGCGCCGTCTACCTCCACCTCCACGTCCGACGCCCGCCTCTCGGACTACGAGAGGCTCTCCGTTCTTGGCCACGGCAACGGCGGCACCGTGTACAAGGCGCGGCACCGGCGGTCCGCGCAGCCGGTCGCGCTCAAGCTCTTCGCGGACGGGGACACCTCCGCGGCGCGCGAGGCCGAGATACTCATGCTCGCCGCGGACGCGCCCCACGTCGTGCGCCTCCACGCGGTGATCCCATCGTCGGCGTCAGCGGTCGCCGCCGGGGAGGCTCCCACGGCGCTGGCGCTGGAGCTCATGCCGGGGGGCTCCCTCTCGGGCCTGCTCCGCCGGCTGGGCCGACCGATGGGGGAGCAGCCCATCGCCGCCGTGGCGCGGCAGGCGCTCCTCGGGCTCGCCGCGCTCCACGCGCTCCGCGTCGTGCACCGCGACCTGAAGCCGTCGAACCTGCTGGTCGGCGCCGGCGGCGAGGTGAAGATCGCCGACTTCGGCGCGGGCAAGGTGCTGCGGCGGCGGCTGGACCCCTGCGCGTCCTACGTCGGCACGGCGGCGTACATGTCCCCCGAGCGGTTCGACCCGGAGGCGTACTCGGGCGACTACGACCCCTACGCCGCCGACGTGTGGAGCCTCGGGGTGGCCATCCTGGAGCTGTACCGGGGCCACTTCCCGCTCCTGCCCGAGGGCCAGCGCCCGGACTGGGCCGCGCTCATGTGCGCCATATGCTTCGGCGAGGCGCCGGAGCCGCCGGCCGCGGCGTCGGAGGAGTTCCGGGACTTCGTGGCGCGGTGCCTCGAGAAGAAAGCCGGCCGGCGCGCGTCGGTGGCCGAGCTGTTGGAGCACCCGTTCGTCGCCGAGCGGGACGCCGCCGGCGCACAGCACGCGCTCGCTGCGCTCGTCGCAGAGGCGGAGCAGCGCGACCAATAATACAGGCTGCCGCTGCCCTGTGCCTTGCGGTTAATTAATAAGAATTCACTACTACTCCGGAGAAGTATAGGACGAGCTGAGGTGTACATAAATTACGCCACCTGCGTAGCCTTTTCTTATCTTTTTCATTCGTTCATTGAGTTTATCAATCCAATCCCAAGAGGCAACAACTTCGTGAAATTCAAGATCCCCTCGACGACGCTGTTGGCTGTCTAGATTGCTGTTAAGTCATTCATTTCACGTGATCCATGCTTTGAATTTTTGTACAAGCATGAACAAACCTGTTTGCTCTCGAATTGTTTCACCAATCTCAAATCGTTAATCAGTAAACTTTGTTGAAAGAAAAGATTAGATGTGTTCTCACCTGCAAAGGTGTAGTATTGATTATCTTTAATGATTAACAACAAGTAGCATGCGTGAGCGGAGGAATGAGTAGGGCCCTGTTTGATTCAGCTTACTGGAGTTTTGATTATAAGTTGAGCATAATTATATAATAAGCTACGACGTAGAAAATCTACTGTATAAATAAGCGGGACGTTTGGATGTCCTGATTATTTCGGGTATGACATTTTACACTGAAAACCCTGAACTTCTCTCAAACTGCGTAGCACTATTTACTACTGTTTCTGTGAGTCAATAGCCTTGCAACTGGACCCAAATAAGAATTTCTATTTGCATCCTAGTCCTTCTTCTTTAATCGACGCACGAGCTCGGAGGGAGCCGGCAGTGGGGGGAGAGCCGATGGTGAGGGAGTGACCCGGTCGTGGAGGCCGCCGGCCGGAGGCCACATCCGGCAGGGACCTGCTCCCCGCCGGCGGATCTGGTCCAGGGCCGGGCTAGAGGGAGGCGATGACGGTCGTGGAGGCGGGAGCCAGACCGGAGGGAGGCGTAGATGGAGCGGTGCCGGGGAGGGAGGCGGCGCCGGGGATGGAGACCGCGCCAGGGAGGGAAGCCGCATTGGAGATGGTGGCCGCGCCGGGGAGGGAGGCCGCGCCAGAGATGGTGGCCGTGCCGAGGAGGGAGGCGGCGCCAGGGATGGAGGGAGTGAGCGAACGCGAACCCGCGTTCTCCAAATCACATGCATTGGCTCGCGTTTCGTCCGTAGGCTATTTTCCGCGTATAAGCGGACGCGCGATGGCTGGTCGCGAGCGCGATGCAACCCGTTTGGTGAGATTTTCGGCTCATCTCGGTCGCGAACGCGAGAATGAGCGGAACCAAACAGGGCCTTTGTCTCGGTTGGCGTTGGGGGTGGTTGCCTTCTTCTGGCTTCATGTGCAGGGTGTACAAAATCTACTATTGAGGTGGCTGGGCCACCGACCACACCAAAACTGTGAGCAATGGCCAATGGCACTAACAAAACATGGAAACCAGCAAGGGGTAGTGATTTCGAAAGAACACTACGCACAAATTTTAACCGTGGCGGACAAAAAGGGTTAACCGAGGCGGTTTTTGCAACCGCCTCAGACTAAAGGTCACGGTTAATCGTGGCCTTAACCGAGACAGTTGCAAAAAACTCCTCGGTTAATCGATTAACCGAGGCAGTCGGCAACCGCCTCAGTTTAATGCTAATATCGGAGGCGGTTGAATTATGTAGCCCGCCACGGTTAATAATTTCAGGAAATAAAAAAACCCCACCGAGCACGGTACCACGCGCCACCGTTGTATGTGGTAGGATCCACGCCCCCGCAGCCTCGGGTGCCATGGGCACTCGGTGGTGGCTGGATCCGCTCCCCTTCAGCCTCCGGTGGCCGGATCCGCACTCCCGCTGGGGCCACGCCTTCTCGAGCTGCTGCCGACGCCGGGCCCCCGCTTGCCTTCTCCTTTGATCTGTTGAGTCCCACATGCCGTGCTGCCGAAGGTGGAGGTCGAGGTGGATGTGGAGGGGGGCGGAGGTGGAGCTGGATCTGGAGGGAGCATAGTGGAGGTGGAGGGGGCCGATGGAGCCGGAGCCAAAGGTGGAGGGCGCCACCGGAGCCGAGAGTGGAGGGCACCGCTGGAGCCAGAGGGAGAAGTGGAGGGCGCCGCCGGAGCTAGAAGTGGGAGGATCCGCCGGAGCTAGAAGTGGGGGCCCCGCCGGAGCCGGAGGTGGAAGGGCATCTCAGGGTGGGGAAGAGCGCCGATGGAGTTAGAGGGAGAAGGGCCGACCCTCAGGTGCGAGGGAGACGAGAGAGGAGCCGCTCGGGCATTCGAAGTGTCAGCATTTCGAGTTACCACCGACTAGTAAATTTCTAATATTGCGCGTCTGGCTCGGATGGTGTGCTAAGAGGACATGAGGTTTATACTGGTTCGAGCAGAATGTCCCTACATCCAGTTCGTTGCTGCTGCTCGTGTTACTAGTACTGAAAGTTCGTAGTAGGGGTTATAAACGGTCGAGAGAGGGACCGGTCCCAAGTCTCTGATGAGAGGAGCGAACGGGTGCCGAGAGCTCGGTCGCTTCCTGGCTGTGTGCTTGTGTGTTCTGATCGGTTCAGGGTTCGATGAGTTCTAGTTCGAATCGATGCGATGTGTTACGATGCCCCTTATGGGACGCCCTGCTTTCTCTTTTATAGGCTAAGGGAAAGCACGTGTTACATTGGAGAAAAAAGAGGAGAATGAGAAGGAGAAGAAGTCCGCCAGGATCGCCGGATCCTTCTTTTCCTTCACGCGGGTCCCACCGACCCTGTAGACGTCGACAGGGACAACTCCACGTCACGGTCGTGTCCGTCATTGGCGCTATGCGTAGGCATCGTCTCCCGATCGTGGCGCTCCAACGCTGTTCCTGATGTGAATCCCCAGGTATGGCTCGTCACGACCATGGGTTATATCGGGGCATGCCGGTCACCTCCCTGGTGTCAGAGCTTTGACCCAGGCCCATTCGCTTGGACCTAGAGTGGTTGGCGACGATATGGGTCTTCGTCGGGCGAGACGGATCCCCTGGCCTTGGGGTCGATCAAGGCGGAGTCCCCCCTAGAGGCCGGGCGAGGCGAATCCCACGGCCTCGGTGTCGGGCGAGGAGGAGCCAGCCCTCAGAGGTCGGGCGAGGCGGAGCCCGCGACCTCGGTGTCGGGCGAGGCGGAGCCAGCCCTCAGAGGTCGGGCGAGGCGGCGCCCGCGGCCTCGGTGTCGGGCGAGGCGGAGCCCACCCTTAGAGGTCGAGCGAGGCATAGCCAGCCCTCAGAGGTCGAGCGAGGCGAAGCCCGCAGCCTCGCTGTCGGGGGAGGCGGAGCCCGCCCTCAGAGGTCGGGTGAGTCGGAGCGCAAACCCAAGGGCAGAGGCCGGGCGAGGCGGAGCCAGCGGCCTCGGTGTCGGACGAGGCGGAGCCCGCCCTCAGAGGTCGGGCGAGGCGGAGCGCAAACCCAAGGATCGGGCGAGGCGGAGCCCTCCCCCAGAGGCCGGGCGAGGCGGAGCTTGCGCACCTGGGGGTCGGTTGGAGCTGTAGTCGCGCTCTTCACTGCTCAGATGAATCAATGTTGATGGTTATTAGCTCCTCCTCTTCGGGTACCCTAGTATTGATCCCCGACACGAAGATATTTCTCGATTCGCCTGGACGACACGTCTTGTAGGGTCCGTTCGTCATGCTCAGTGAGGAAGCACAAAAACATCAACGGCGGACATGTCTCCACGTGGCGTCCTATCCGGCCATCCATAGGTCCACGTCAACGATCCGGGTCTCCTACGCGGGCGCGCAGCACGGAGAGAGAAGGAAACAGGTGGGGCCGGGCGCACAGTGGACGTTGGAAGGCACGCTGGTTTGATTTTTGGAGGCGGACGTTTATCATTTATCGAGGTGGATATTTTTGACCGACTCCGTTAATCGATTTACCGAGACGGTTATGTTACGATGCCCGCCTCGGTTAATGTAATGTATTAACCGAGGCGGTTGCTGGCCCTGCTGTCTTGCCTCGAATAACCGAGGCGGGCAACCGTGCCGCCCGCCTCCGAGGCTATTTTAGAAACGTTGCGCAAAATATTTTATGTAGTGGTGGAAGCAACATAATAAAGCCAAAAAGTACAATAACCAACCGGCTGTGCTGACAACTTAGTTCGAACGGCCGATCAAGGACAGCAGCAGCAGCAACAGCCGTAGATTTTGATGGGGGCGGCAGGCACGGACGCATTGTCTGTCCTTATTCCATTTGGTAGAAGCGTGCATTGCAAATGATGCATCATCAATCTCAACGATTGCAATAGAACGCGCGCAACGAAAATGCGCAAAGTTTGGCACCGTTTACAGATGAATTAGAAGAAGAAGAAAACAATTGCCATCCCCAACATTTTCCTTCGAAGCAGCAGCGTATTCCAATTTCCAAGCGCAAATGCACACGTACAACCCCGGCCGCTCAAAGCTCCTCCACTCCACCTCCGGTTTGCACCGGCCGGTCACGCTCTGCGTTGTCCTTGTCGTGACATGACACGGCCACAAGAGAACAACAGCCGCGAAGAAAGACGTACTACGCATCGTCACTGCAGCCTGAAGCAAGAAGAAGCAGATCGTGGTCGTGGGGTCGCCGTTTTGTCACGGTGGATATTTTTTGGGCGGAGCAACGTGGTCCTGATAAGATCGCCACTGTGCCCCGTGCCGAGCGGCGGCCAAAACTGCTCGTGGTGTAATCATCGGAGATGGTTCGGTTCGGTAGGGGGTAGAGTTATACTAATTAAAGAAGGAAACAACCTGACGGCTTCAGCAGCAGCAGTTACAGCTACACATATCTGCGTGCTCGTGTCGTTCCGCGAAGGGAGGATCTGCCCGCCTGCCGCCACCGCAGGCTACGCCGCCGCGACCGACGGAGGCGGGCGTTTCCCGGAAGCGGGAGCCGGCGATTACTGCGCTGTCGTACGGGCTGCACTTGCACGCTTCCTCTGCCTGCCGTAGCGCCGGCCGGTTTTACACTTTTATTACGGTACAATACAGTGGACGGACGGATGGACGCATCGCAACGCAAGCGCGGTGGTCAGGAGAAGTACCCTGGGAGGCTGGGATGGTCTGATCGTTTCCCCGGGTAACCGTTTCGCCGTGCTCCG